AATTAAAAAATATTGCGACGAATTGAGAACCTCCTCCTTTTTTGAAGTCAGTCAAAAAAACATGATATATAACTAAATTATTTTCGGTTCTGGGTGCCCCAAAAGAGGACACTTAGCCGACAATTTGGCTCAGATAGCTAAAACCCAACAGCCACATCCTTTTAAGTAAAAAATAACTAAAAAAAAAACATACTTTTTTCCCCTTGTTGCAAGCATCCGATGACGATTAGGTAGATATTAACTAGAAGCATGTACTTAATGGTTATGGAGCTTATTTTTAACAGACTTTAAAAAAGGAGGAGATTCTCAATTCGTCGCGATAATTCTTTAACACGGTGTCCGATTTCAATGATTTTTGTTAGAAAGGGGGTACTTCAGGGGTGGTCCCATATAAATTTGGTCAAAACCAAATAATTGGGTCCATGAGAAAATCCTCAAACTCTTCATTTTTTATGTATGTTTAGCGATAATTCTTAACCACCTTGTCCGATTTATGAGTCTTTTTTTGTTAGTAAGGGGGTACCTTAGGGTTGGTCCCATATAAATTTTGTTAAGATGTGGTGATGGCATCTGCACGTTTTTGAAGTCGGTTTTTTCTAATTTTTAATTTCTAATACTTGTAACACAAAAAGAATAATGCACTAGTCGAAAAGCAGCTATCAAATATAAAAAGACCACACAATTAAAATTCTAATTAAAAACTATAACTATGAAAGACAAATACTCTAAAAGCGCAAAAGATCAGAACCAAACAAAACGAATAACCGCAATAACCTTAAAATCACAATAAAATTGCAAAAACTAGTACTGTAAAATCATGAGATTACATCAATAATGCGTATGCGTCGGAGTATCGCAAATGTCAAAAGTACAGTGTTTTAATGAAAATTTAGCTATGTTTTTAGCAGCATTAGAGGACCATTTCTATCACGCGCACCCAACGAGTATAAATGATTTGACATAACGAAACTAACAATAATTATAATTAATGTAGAGTAGGCTTGTGTCAAAATTGTAAAAAAAATCCAAAACTAAACACTAATAAGTGTTTCGTGAATTCTAAATAAAATAATTATTATATAAAAATGTAAAAAGAAATGTAATTTATTTCCCTATTTTCTTCTGTAATACGAGTATCTTCAATTATTATGTTTTATTTCTATAAATATACCAACTGGTGAGGTGAAACATTGTGATATATGATTTTATTTATGTGGCCTATGCGTACACTTTAATATACAAAACACCTGGAACATTATTTGAATAATTGTGGTCGTAGGAAAAATTGTGTACATAACTCGTTTGAAAGTGTATTTTATGCACTTGCCAAATATATTATCCATACAGACTAACCAGACTATTATTTTACTTAACTTCAGTATATCTCTTACTACTAGAACTATTTTTATCACTGGAAAACAGGAGCCTTGTTTTCGTATATTCTGACGCATTTTCGGCTTTAACCCATCGGACCCCCCACCCCCTCTAAATATATAAATTATGCTTAAAATTGCTAACCCTACAATTCTCTATCCGTGTTTGCTGACTGGGAAAATAAATAGCGAAAATCGTCACTGTCTCCTGGACTATACAGTTAGTAGATGATGGTGAGGACTTCACAACAAATACACTTTTATCAATGGCTAGTTGGGGATGTGGTTAAATCTGTAAGTCTTAAATACTTACCTTAATTTGGAGCCATGCTGTATGTAGATATATAAAAAACTTTAACATTTTTTATTATGTTGGATTCTAATTGATATCTAATAAATATTATTGATCTGAAATTTGTTTTTTTGTATTGGTTTTCGTATTGACAAAATTTTACAAAAATTGTAAAATCTTAATATGTAAAATAATTGCTAGCAATAAATTATTAAAAACCCTAAATATCTAGGTAGGTATTCTTAGAAGTGGAGATAATCCACTAATCTTATGATCCGAACGTCGTGGTCGAAACCTACCTGAGTTGGTGGTCGAATCCAGTAACTCCCGATTCAACTATCAAAATAAAAAACATGAAATGAGAAATGAGAAAGGTGATTTTTTGTCCATAAAATTTAAAAGGTTAAAGATAAAGAAGCATATTATTTAAGTTAGATCATAACTGAATTATGTAAATATTCCAATTTAGTATAGTGTAGCTGTCCATTTTAAAAATCAAAATTTTACTGATGATCAGTGGGAATTTGCATTTCGTACCGCATCAATTACATACTTACACAAAAAAAATCGTAGCATAACTTCAGTATAGAATAGTACCAAACATGGATAAATGGGCAACCATCTTAATGGTTCCATGAGAGCGCGTTGAGATATGTTCGCCCGCGGCACGATATTATTTATGCCAAACGTGGTATTAGAGAAAATCATCCTGTTCTTAATTTAAAACTAGAGATAATGGCTAGAGTAGACTCGAGTACGTAGCATGTTATTGAAAAGAACTGTCAAGGTGACGAATAGATGAGTTTGTGTAAATAGGAACAAGTGTTGATATAATTAACGTTAAGTGTATGTGTAGCAATAAATAATTCTTCTAATGGTTTGCTTTTTAATGAGAACTTTGTTGAATACTTTAAAAAATGTACATACATTTAGTTTATGATACCATAAAGTTAAAAACTTACATCGGTAAGTTGTATTAATTATATTTTTTTATATTTCTTGTACGACAATTATATTAATACAGTTTGGATAATTACATTATACATATTAAATAATGAACCAAAATTTAATTAAATACAATTCGTAAAAACAACATTTCTCATTTTGAAGAAGTAAAAATAAAACTAGAAGAAAACCAGGTAATGACAATAGCAATTTGCTCAAAGAAAGAAAAACTACAGTACTTATCTAGCTAGGCTATCTAAAATAAGCAAAGATAAGATTACTTTAAGGTGATTACAACACCCCTTATAATTTTCGAACAAGGATATCTCAAACAGTAATTTTTTAAAAAGGAATGCATTTATTTTTATTATATTTCAAAATTTAAAGCCTTTCGATTTTTTTTCTCGGTAACTGAAAGGGTTTAAAACTTTAAAATATATGCATATCTAGATAATATTACCTTAACATTCTTAACCAATTTGTAATTGGCAAGGTATGCAACGTTAAAAATACTATAATGTGCGGATCCGGACTATCCACAACTAAGGGAAGAATTACGTAAGGCAACAACTCAATGCGGTTGCTTCTTTCAATCTACTGGAAAACTTATATATTGGCCCAGTGTACCAATTAAAACCTTGTTAGATTTCCTTGTAACTATAAAAATTTTCTTGGAACTACATATCATTTGGAAAAAACATCGATCTGAATTTAGATAATTTCCCAGTAATTCTTTCTGGGAATATTTGTTCCTTTAACAGCTCGTTCATTATTCCGAAAATCCACTGGGGTGCAATTTTTCTGGCCTCTCTTATTGCTTTCGGAGGAATGTTGTCTAGGCCTGGCGCCTTTTTTTTCTTTATTTTTTCCAGTCCTCGGTGCAGTTCTTCTTTCGTAAAAAGTTTTACGTTTGAGACTGTTTGTTCGACTTCCCATTTATCGTCTCTTGTAGGAAAGAGGATGCCAGCGATTTTTTTCTTGTTCTCTAGTGAGAGTTGATATGGAACTACACTTTTTAGCGTTTTGTTAATAATTTTGTAGCCTTGTCCCCAGATGTCTTCTTCCAGGTCCTTTAGTAATTCTTCGCAAAGTTTCTTCGTTGAATTTACTATCGATCTTTGCAGTTCTTTCCTTGATATTTTGTATACTTTCCTTGCATGTGCTCTTATGTTTTCCGGTATTTCCTTTCTTTTTGACATCCGTGTGGATTTCTTGCGCAACTTCTTGCAGTCTTCTCTTTTTTCCTCGATTTGTCTGTCCCACCAATAGGGCATCCTATTTACTTCCATACACCCTCTGTTGACTTGACTGCTTACGTAAATTTCTTACATGATAGATTTAAAACTATCTGGTATTTTTTCGGCATTCTCCCTATCTATTTTTTATTTTAGCAGTGTTCCTAAGGCTTCCCAATTTATCTTTATTGTTTTTTTTTTTATTTTCTTTTATGATATATTTATCTTTTACTTTAAAATATATAAAAGCATGGTCATTTAGGCTTTCAACATCTAAAACTTTCCAGTCTGCTATGGTTTTTACAATTTGTTGGGTTAAACACCTTACGTCGATGAAGGATTTGGTGTCGCCTCTAACAAATGTAGGTTTTTCTGCTGTGTTATGAACTATAAGATTCATCCACTCCATCTAGTACTCTCTCCTCTTGTCACTTGTTGGAGATCCCCATGCGACAGATTTGGCATTTATATACCCCAATACAATGCTTTCAGCTGATCTTCTGCAGTCTCGTATAATATCATCTACCTTAGTTTTATAGACCTCTAGTTTAGATATGTAACAGCAATATATCCTTTAGATAGATAATTAAAAATCCAGTTTTTACTTCCACCTTTTGGACACCAATATTATTGTTTTTCATATAGACACCTACATCTACCCTCTCATCGTTTAGCCATTCTCTTCCTTTTATCAGATTCTTTTTAGTTCACTAGAAATAACATTCATTTCGGATACTGTTGCATAGGTTACGTCGTATGCCGCTCTCTTTCTCATTAGATTTTTAGGTTTATCCTCTGCAGGTGTTTTTGTTGCTGTTTCTGTTTGTATTGTCCATTAACTTATTTATTGGGTGCTGCCTATCCTTAGCTTGGATCTAGCAATCTTTACCAATTTTCTATAGGCTGGACATTTCATTCCGTCCGTTCGATGTCCGTTCTTTTTGCAGGAGTGGCAATATTCCTCGCGTTTACAATCTTTGGCAATATGTCCAGTTTCTCCACATCTAAGGTAGTTTTCCGCTCTATCTGGTTCTTTACAATCCCTCGTGTTATGGCCGAGTTCTTGACATTTAAAGCATCTTCTAGGATTAATTTTTTCTTGGATCCTGCAATTTACCCATCCGATTTTTATTTTTCCGATAGAAGAGTTAATACCTCCTCCTGTCCTACTTCTAGAGTAGTGTTTTGTGTTTTGGCATATGCCGATCTTAGTGATCTGACGATAAAATTGTCCTTGCCATTTAGTACTGTTTTAAGTGCTTCGATGACTTCTTCTTTCGTTGTTATACCATACATTCCCATAATATGTATGATTCTCGTGGTAGTATCTTTCTTGACCACAATTTCATTCTCGTGAAGTCCTTTTGCTAGTGTCTCTTTTAGCATGTTTGCTGCCATATGTCGTCCATCTGTTCTTAATATAAGATTACCGTCCTTTGTTTGTCTCATTGACTTTATTCCATGGTCTGAGTTTGTCTTCTGTACCTCTTCTTTGACTGTTTTGAGAAGGTCGACGTATTACTTCCTGCGTGATTTAATTATAGCCACACCTGTGTTGTCTATATTGTTTTCCTGTTTGTTTTGTTCTTTGTGTCTCCTTTGTATTTTCCAATAAGGCTTCTACATAGTTTTGTTTGGTCGTATACAGCTGTATCTCAATTTCCGAATATAGGAATACGAATTCAATAATATTTCGTATTACTACTGGCTCCAGTATCTCTGGTACTGGCATTGTAATATTGCAATATTTATTTGCCCTTCTTTTTGTGCTATCTCTCGTATGTTTTTAAGAATACTTATACGTCGTCAATGTTTTCGTTTTTTGAATCATGTATAATTTTAAAGAATACTTTTTCTTTTATAATGCAACCGCCTTTTTCTCTGTCTGGCCTCATTTTTTATGTCGGTTGCTTCTTCCTCTTCCTGTTTCTCTCTTTCATATTCTCAGTCTGCTATTGGGTCCGTCTGTATGCCTATTGACCTGGTTCTTACTAGTGTCTCTGGTTTATTCGCTTCCTGCTTAGGTTAAACTTTTCTTTGTCTGTTTTGATAACGATTTGCAAGTAACCACAGATCTTTACTCATATTTTTAATTTCCATTTTTGTCTTGGTACTGGCTTTAACGCATATTCTAAGGAGTTTTATTTTTGTAAGTTCTTCTTCGAAGCCATTGTTGTCTACCGCTATATTTTGATCTATTTCCTTAGGAGGGAATTTTAACCAATTTTCCAGATGTGCGCTAACGTCTGGTAGGCTCGTTCTTTTTATTTTTCTCTGTCTATACACGATTGAATCTTTGTCTCGTTGTCTCTTTGTCTCTTCATTTTCTCCGACGTGGGAGTCTTGATTTCTTCATCGAGTACATTGACGGTGTCTGATATGACCTTTTCTATGCTTATAAATATTTCCCCAATGAAAATCCCTGACTTGTTAGATTTCCTTGTGACTATAAAAATTTTCTTGAAACTACATATCAGCTGGAAAAAACATCGATCTGAATTCAGATCATTTCACAGTAACTCTAACATTAATCGAAACTATTATTAAAAGAGATTATTATCCAACCTAGTAAACAAAACATCTAGTTGGGAAGAATTTCAAGAAGAATAGTCAAACAGAATACAACTAAAAATAATGTATTAAAGATTAAAGAACAATTAAACCAGAAGTATAAACGTTTGTAATTGAGATTTAACAGCCTGTTTGGCAAAATAAACCTGAAATCAAAAGATTGACAATAAGAAGCAATTATTATCCTCTTTAAATAAGACAAATAGTAGCAAAAAAAAAAAATAAAAAATATGGCAAAAACAAGAACACCAGATGATAAAACAAGACTAAACAGGGCCTCCCAAATATTACGAAAAGAAATTGTACTGTTAAAAAATGAGGCCATCCATAAATAATTATAAGAAGTAACAGATAATAGTGAAAAAAAACTATTCTCTCTGGAAAATAACCAAAAAACTAAAAAGGCCACTGATCCAAATCAAGAAAAAGCAGGAAGTTTCTTAGATAATTTAGAACACACTTTTCAGCCTAACGAAAATAATAGCATACAGGAATAACTGTCGTATGAAAATGAATATTTGGACATCAATTCATTAATACCGGAAGAATTAGCAGATGAAATTAAGAACATAAATCCAAAGAGGTTTTCGGCTACAACCCTATAACTGGAAAAATCCTTAATATAAACAACCTAGAAAAGCACTGGTTAAACTCGCACTTATCTAATAAATGCAGCATTTCGGTAGAAACATGTACCACACGTATGAAAAATAATGATTGCCAAACATGAAAAAATAAAAAACATCACACATGCCTGTTTATTACAAATTGTGTCCATACTGTTCGAGAAACTACTGTTGAAGCGACACCTATTGTTATAAATAAACCACTAATTGTTCGCATCAGTTTGAATTTAGAAACAAGCATTTAACAATTGACCAAATTTAGCAAATTACAGACATAACTGAAAAATCCTATAAGGAAAATCAAATATGTTTAGTAGAATTTTTGGATGTAGCCCAGGAATCGACCGGATTTGGCTTGAGGAATAAATTAATAAACTGGAAAAATGTAACCAAAACAATATATACTGAGATTTTAAAATCTTATAATACTGATCGAGTATTCTATGTCAAACAAAAAGAAGCATTTTCTACAAGAAAATTTATTAAGACAGGTGTACCACAAGGTAGCGTGCTAAGACCAGTTTTTTACCTGTTTTAAACTTGTGATATCCCACAAACCAACCATGTGATGACTACTACTTATGCTGACGATACAGCTATCCTAGTGATGGGACATGACAGCGAAGAAACTATAGACAAACTTTACCAGGTATGCAACAGTGTGACTGAAAGAAACATAACCTTAACAGTAAGAATAAATTATCATTCATTAGCTTTAATTATAAAGGAAGGGAACAATTAATAATAATAAGGAAATACCACACTAAGATACAGTAAAATATCTTAGGGTCTGGCAGTTTTATTAAAATGGAAAGCACAAAGAAAAAAAGGAAGATGCTTGACTTAAAATATAAAAATTGCATTGGCTATTGAGATGAAAATCAAAACCTTCTGTTTATAATAAGTTATTGTTTTACAAATAGTTTTTAAAACCAGTCTGGTTCTTGGAATGCAGCAGAGTGCAATATAGACAAAATTCAAATATTCCTGAACAAGGTACTTCGAGGTATTGAAGACGCTCCATGGTATTATAGAAATGATCACCTTCACAGATATTTGAAGATTGCGACCGTCAAAGAAAAGATCAAGATATTTTAAAAGTTTCACCTAATGATTTTACATCCTGAGGAAAATATTAAAATATTAATTAATTTTATATTGCAAAACAAATTTTTATTTAACCTGTTACAAATAAAGATTGAAACTTAATTTACTTGCAGAAATAAAACTTTTGTTTAAGATACTAGTAATATTAATAATAATTATAATACAACATGTAAACACACTGATTACTAAGTGTCTACATTATATGAATTAAACTGAATAAGTCATAAACACAAGGTTGTGATAATATAAGAAAAGAGAATCAAAAGAATTAAATAACCTATTACTTTTATAAAATTAAAAAGTCTGCACATCCTAAAACCCAATAATAAAATACGCCTTTTACTCCTACATATTAATGCAATTAACTAATAGCATTAAAAACCATTTGTAGAACAATTATTATTTAACCACATATTAATATTAATCCTTCCAATCCCACAAGAAAAATGTTATTTAATTAAATTATGAATAATACGAGCCCCAGCACTGTATCTTGTGGTACACTTACTATTTCGTTTCGTGGACTGACTGTCTATTCTAGTTATTTGTCTAGCTTTTAAATAATGAATTTGCTTTAAATATTTTTAGGTTTTATTCCTTCATTCATTTTGAGTACTTTTTCTCTCTTAAACCATCACACTGATGTAATAGTTTAAATGTATCAAGAAATTCAAACTTTTTTAATGACATGTTTAAAATTCATAAAAAAAAACTATAAGGTATTTATTAGAATAATTATAATTGAACATTTTAACAATTTTTTTTCTCTTCTTTGAATCGATTGTGTTCTATTCATCGCTGTTGTTTCTTTTTTTTTATCTTTTGATGCTGATACCATTACAATCATTAAAACAAAACCTCTCCGCAACATCCACTGAGCAAGCACCACATAGAGTCAGTGTAATAGAAAACAACCTGCACACAACAATACAATAGGCAAACATATTAAAAATCGTTGTTGATATTCATCTTAAGCGTATTTAGTTACTGCACTGCTTTATTACCATATTGTATAGAGAACTAGGAGTTAGATCTTATAAAGTAAAAGCAACGTTTTATAAAAATTTAACTAATTTATTACTGTTTGTGGCTAAGGTGAACAATGGTACTGCCGTGGTACCAGCGGAGATATTCCTTTAGCCTTAATAGGGTACTATTCTTGTACTATTGTGTCCCAGATGGTGTGACCAAACAATGTGTCTTTCATTTGATTCTTCTGCTTGTCCGAGCTCTACCACATATCTTGTCCACCATTAGCGTAGACAAAAACGTAAATATAATTTTTTTTTGTGCTTTTAGTAAAGAAAAAGATGGGAATTTGATAAAACATTAAAACTGTTATGCTACTCTGAAAACCGTTATTCAGCAAAGGTAGATATTTGTTCGAAATCTGTTTATGTTCTACAAATTTTGTTTAATACAAGACAACCATTCTTCGCATAAGGATGGAGTAAATTTAAAGTAAATTTAAAAAATACTATACAGATTTAGAAGTAATGAATTAAGTCAAAATTAATTTTGTTTCTGATATTGTTTCTCTTCATTATTAGCAAGTTTATTCAGATGATTATAACTTCAAAAGTCAAATAAGATCTTAGAAGTGCAAGGAAGGACGAATGATTGGTTAATTAAGTTTGATTAATTAAAAATTTGAAATTGCTGATGGTATTGTTACTTAACTATAGGGTATATAAACTAAACTTACATAGCAAAATTATCATTATTAAAAAAACTTAGAGAGAAATAATTAAATTAAATAAATAGTAGAACAATTGGAGAATTTGAACTACCCTGTGTTTAATGTAAAATGAAAGAAATACAGTGTGTCCCACTTTTCATGACTCCCATATAATAACTGGGTTATTATTAAAGCGATAAATTTGAAATTTGGGTCAACAATACTTTTTTGTAAGGTGAATGTTTTCAACATCATCAAGTTACCTTACAAACCAAATCTTAGACAAATATCATGCGCTATAAGAGCTTCCAAATATTAAAATTTAAAGCAAACTTTTAGCTACAGTACAAAAATTCTACGTTTTAAGCTAAAAAGTATAAAAAGACTTAAGTTTCCGACAAGACAGCTATTAAAATTTTTATTCAAAATGGATGTAAATCTTCTTAAGTGGAATATAAATGGTTTCT